GCCTCCCAAGTAGCTGGGACCACAGGCACCCGCCACAACGCCCGGCTATTTTTTGGTTGCAGCCAGCATTGTTGTTTGGTGAGCCTGGGCTGGATTCAAACCCGCCACCTTAGGTGTATATGACTGGCACCTTAGCCACTTGAGCCACAGGCACCGAACCTTCTCTTGCTTTTTTGTTCCCCTTATATTCTTTAATTTTTAATCCTTCCATCCTTCCTTTTTTCCTCCTCTTTTTATAGTATCATGAGTCTTTTTTAAAAAGTCATTTTCTTTTCTTTCTTTTTTTTTTTTTTTTTGGTAGAGACAGAATCTCACTTTGCCATACTCAGTAGAGTGCTGTTCCATCACAGCTCACAGCAACCTCCAACTCCTGGGCTTAGGCGATTCTCTTTCCTCAGCCTCCCAAGTAGCTGGGACTACAGGCGCCTACCACGACACCTGGCTATTTTTTGGTTGCAGTTTAGCCAGGGCCGGGTTTGAACCCACCACCCTCAGTATATGGGGCTGGTGCCCTACTCACTAAGCCACAGGCGCTGCCCTTAAAAGTCATTTTCTTTCTTTCTTTCTTTCTTTTTTTTTTTTCTGAAACAGAGTTTCAGTGGCATCACAGCTCACAGCAACCTCAAACTCCTGGGCTTAAGCGATTCTCCTGCTTCGGCCTCCCAAGTAGCCGGGACCACAGGCTCCTGCCACAATGCCTGGCTATTTTTTGGTTGTAGTTGTCATTGTTGTTTGGCAGGCCCAGCCTGGATTCAAACCCTTCAACTCTGGTATGTGACTGGTGCCCTAGCTGCTGAGCTACAAGCACCAAGCCTAAAAAGTCATTTTTTTAAGAGATTCTAGTCTTGTGGAGTGACTTAGATTTTAGCATAGATGAGCCCAGCAGAATACAGTTGGGTTGGTTCCTTTACTTACTTCCTTAAGACAAGTATCATGGCTTGGCGCCTGTGGCTCAAAGGCTAAGGCACCAGCCACATACACCTGAGCTGGTGAGTTCGAATCCAGCCCAGGCCCACCAAACGACAATGATGGCTGCAACAAAAAAATAGCTGGGCGTTGTGGTAGGCTCCTGTAATCCCAGCTCTTTGGGAGGTGGAGGCAGGACACTCACTTGAGCCCAGGAGTTGGAGGTTGCTGTGAGCTGTGACACCACAGCACTCTACCCATGGTGACAGCTTGAGACTCTGTCTCAAAAAAAGAAAAAAAAAAAAAGACAAGTAACATTTCTGGATAAAGTGTTTTTGAAAACATTCTTAAATTGATTGGTGTGTTGTTCAGGAATCAAGGAATATTCACATTAAAAATCAAATGACAACAAGAATTCTGGAATTAAGCAGAACATTGCAGTAAGCTTGCATCCTGAGTCAATTTGCTCATCTGAGTTTAGTTTTCAAGTCCTCCTGGGGTACAGAATACAGGGTGGACAGTCTAATGGAGACCTCCAGAGTGGACCTCGCAAAGGGCAGTTCATAAACTTACCTGTCATTAAGGGAGCTATGCGGAAAAACACCTTTCTCAAATTTAAACACTGGCTTTGGGACAAGGGGACTTTAGTTTTTTCTTCCAATACTCAATGATGCAGAGATAATTTTTTAATGTTTTAGTTTAGAAAATTTCAAACAGTACTCTGGGAGGCCAAAGAGGCTGGATTATTTGAACTCAGACGTTCAAGACCAGTCTGAACAAGAGTGAAACCCTGTGTCTACTAAAAATAGAAAAAAAAACTAGCCAGGTGTTGTGGCTGGTACCTGTAGTCCCAGGAGGCTGAGGTTAGAGGATGGGGATGGCCTGAGTCCAAGAGTTTGAGGTTGCTGTTAGCTATGATGTCATGACACCCTACCCAGGGTGACAGAATGAGACTCTGTGTCAAAGAAAAAAGGAAAAAATGGCTCAGCACCTGTGGCTCAAGTGGCTAAGGCGCCAGCCACATACACCTAAGGTGGCGGGTTTGAATCCAGCCCAGGCCTGCCAAACAACAATTATGGCTGCAACCAAAAAGTAGCCGGGTGTTGTGGCGGGTGCCTGTGGTCCCGGCTACTTGGGAGGCAGAGGCAGGAGACTCACTTGAGCCCAGGAGTTGGAGGTTGCTGTGAGCAGTGAAGC